AAAATTTATAAAATGGTCCAACCTCATAACCAAATAAATAAAATTTGCTCAAATAAAATCAAATCAAATGAAAATTATCTATCTTATAGCATTCATACTTATTGTATTTACTAATAGCGTTCATTTACACTGGATTCCACGCGATACAAATGCAAATTCATGTGATAAGCTTACTGAATATGCTAGTTCAATTTATTCAGAGGTTGAATTTCTTAATTATGCGGATGTAAAAGCATGCTATGAATCAACACCGTATAATAAAACAAAGGCCACTCAGGTATTTCTAATTTTAAGCAAATAAATAAGTCATAAATTTAATTGTTAATATTATACTTTTATTTATATTAGGTAATAGAAGTAGTGAAAGAAAATCTTAAAGGATTCTATGCATTGCTAGATCAAGCAAAAGAAGAACCAAAGCCTGGATTTACAATTAGACCTATTGATTTAATATCTGAATTGGACTTGATTTTAAAAAACAATTATTCATATGAATTTCAATTCATTGTAAATATTTCTATATAATTTCAAATATACGTTTATTAATTACTTATGATTGTATTACTGATGAATATTAGTATGATGTTGCAGACCTTATTGGAGAATTAAGAGATGGACATACCTGGTATGTAATTTCGCTTATTAAAAATATTATTGCAAAGATATAATTATTAATTTTTATATTTTGTCACAGGCTCTTTTCTAATGACTATAATAAGTATACATTTTATCAGGGATTGTCCTTGTATTCTATAATTAAGAAAGATGGCACGCAGGTAAATAATTAAATATCCATAAATATATAAAAAATACTATATTAATTAATTCATTACTTTAGCAAATTAAAGTTTTTGATGACATAAAAGATTCTAGCACTATCGATTGCCAAGTTACGCATATAGATGACAAACCAGCAATTGATGTAATTACTGAATTTGCTAGGAATAAAACATATTTATCAAGAGATTTGAGTGCTCGATTTAATTCAGCCCTCGCATCACTTGCTTTTGGAAACGGAGATTTTCAACTGGCGCGTTCAGGACAATTATTTTCGACTCGGAACCAATTACCAAAAAGTCCGAGTATTTCTTATACGCTCAGTTGTAATGATAAAATTTCTAAAATCACTCGAGAATGGCAAGTTCCTATTAAACATAAATTTAAATCATTTATGCAATATAAATCTCCATACATTACTGGATCCTCAGTCGGAAAAGCAACTTTGATTTTTGATGCATTCATTGCTAGATTTTATATATTAGAAGATTTTGGTGTGGTCGTAATTTCAACTGAATCCATTTTAAATGATGATAATGACCTTGAATATCATTTTCTGTCTAATATAGTTACTGGATTTAAATTGCTTGCAGACAAGGGAATAAAGAAGGTATGCTAAATTAAATACGTTAAAGATTCACAAATGCTAAAAATATTTTACTAAAAATATTTCTACATATCAGATTATTTTAGATTTAAGCAACAATAATGGTGGCGATGTCTTCGTTGCACACTATATAAATAAACTCTTATTTCCTAACATACAAAATTTTCCAGTAGCTTTAAAGGTTAATGATAATTCTATCCCATTTATAAATGAATTTTCAAAGCTTAAGCTTGAAAATTTAATAGATTTAAATGCAAATAGAATGAATGGAGTTTTATTTCATTATAAGTCATATATTTCTGTAAAGACAAATTCTGCATTTAATAATGTTACGGATTTTATTGGAAATAATATATATACTCGTGGTGGTGTCCAAGTTAAATACACTACGAAAGCATTTTACGATGATACAACACTTTACGTTGGTTCATTAAAACCACCAACACCTCCAAAATTTCCTTGGACTGAGAAAGATATTATAATTTTAACAAATGGAATATGTCATTCATCATGTGCAATTATAACTCAAAGATTAGCAGAAATTAATGTTCCCACAATATCTGTCGGTGGATTTCCGAATACTCCATTTTCTTTTGCTCAATATGCTGTTGGAGCGGCAACAAATACTCTTAGTATGAATTATATGCTTGCAAATGTTAAGAATATTGACCCTTCTTTAATTTCTAAATTGACTTTTCCTACAAATTTAATTATGAGTTTTACTATACTTGAAGCCTACAGTATCAATAATCCGAATGAAGTTATGGACTATACTGTTAGACGCGCAAATTATCAATTATATTATGATGAACGGAGTGCTAGGGATCCGAGCTCTTTATGGATGCAGGCTGCAAATATATTGAAGAGTAGAGCTAATTAGAATTGAATTTAACGTTGAATTATTG